AGCACAGAGGTGTGTGCAGTTCACCATCTGCAGCTGTCAGAAACATGACCATCCCACGCTGCTGTACTCAGGCCCCAGGCCTCACAGCGAGGGAGGGCTGCACCATCAGTGGAGCTGCTCCCTCGGTACACGCCCGCCACCACCCCACCCCCAGGGGGCTAGCCTGGAGCACGGCATGACATAAAACCAGTCAACCAGAGAGAGAGGGGGAGGTGGGGGGTGTGGTGGGATTGCCTGTGGGATCTTGCTCTGCCCTTCCCCCAATTGGCTGACGGAGCCTCCCGAGAGCTGAATTGGGGCAGGAGGCAGGTCGGCATCGTTCTTGCCCAACCCTCCCACCCCCTCTCCCTCTCTATCACTCCCCACCCCGTGCGGTGACATGGATAGGGCAATAAAGGGGGTATTGGCCAGTCCTTATGTGCCCAACATGGGCAGCTACCCTCAACGTTAGCCCCTGACCCAGAACCACACCCCTGTCAAACTGCACGCCCCCCACCCCGCTCACCCCCAACTCCACCCCCCCCCAAAAACCCAGTAACGGTGGAACTTACCGGATAACGCTGCTGCCGCCGCCACAGCCGCCGTGGATGGGTGCCCTGCCACCTGGAGCATTCCTGGGGTCAGCGGGGGAGGAGGGGGCAGGCCAGGCGAGGGGGTGAACATGCTGGGGTGGGGGTGGGGGTGAGGGTGAGGGTGGGAGGCAGGCCGCAGGGCCGGCACAAAGCCGTGGGCACCAGCCGGCTGCCCGCTCAGACCCTGGCCCAGGGATGACGGGGTGGAGGCACGGTGAGGAAGCTGGGAGGCTGGAGCGACCAGCTTCGACGGGGTGGAGGCACGGTGAGGAAGCTGGGAGGCTGGAGCAACCAGCTTCGATGGGGTGCTGCTCTGGCTTTGGGGGCGGGGGGGAGATAGGGGAGAAAGAGAGAGAGAGACAGGGGAGAGAAGGGGAAGGGAGAAAAAGAGGGAAAGTGATGTACAGGCAGAGAAGAGCGAGAGATAGGGGGCAAGGGCAGAGAATATGGAAGCAAAAGGTGGGGGGAGAGTACGAGAATGGGGAAGGATCGTGGGAGGGGGGAGAGGGGCGGGCAGAGAGGGGGCGGGCGGGGAGGGGTGGGGGAGGGGATAGGGGAGCAGGGGGTGGGGGGAGAGCAAGAACACGAGATGGGGGGGGGGGGAGAGAGAGATGGATAGAAGTCAATTCAGATTCTCCATGT